ATTATTTTTAGATAGTGACCAATAATGGAATCCAACAAATGTCTTCCACCATAATATATACATCAAACAATAAGTATTGAGTACTGGGCTTTATTATTTCAGGCTAAGAATAAATGCCTATGATAACAGCTTTGTTTCATTTTGAATTCGTCAACTGATTATTTCTGATTCTCATTGTTGATGTTCACATTGAGATTCAAACACAGTACCTGTCTCTTTAAACCCTAGCATGAATGAAGTGAAATATACATGCGCCTTATTTTGTTCCTAGTTACTATCCTTAAAGATAATTGATTAAATTATCGTTTTTTTCGACGATTTTTATGCCATTTCCGAATTGATCTCTTTTTTTTATTACCCTCAATCATTAATCATTTACTGCATTGGTGTCAGTGAAATGTTGTAGATAATTAACTAGTTCGATTTTGTTTTTGAGATTTCTCACTGGTTTCCGCTTTCTATGAGGTCAAACTGAAAAAAATTTATTGTACTATAATCAATAGCTAAATATGATGACAGTTTTCATTGTACGTTTTTTTCCGTTTAACTAGAAAAACTTTTGTTAAACTAAATAATAATTTGATTAGAAAATATTTTATTAAACATTCACTTCTATATGTGGTGTGAGCTACTTATATAAGTAGTATATAACGTGCGTTAAAAGAACGTAATGTCCGGCAGCAGAAGATGGCGAAGATCAAGAAAGGAAGAGCAAGAGCACAATGGAATTGCAAGAAAACGCATGTACAATGGAATGGGAGACAATGGATTAGTGTTTGCAACGGGAACAGTACAGTTTGATATGATGGAATGATATTTTGCAAATTGACGATTGACTTTATGGTATTCACACTTTATTGAGATAGTCTGTAATTTTTGCTAAATACAATCGATTGTCCCCACCCGTGTTCTTGTTCAGTACACTATAGGTCGTTCATATTTCTACTAATTTCAATGGTTATCAGGCAATAGATTGAATCGATTTTCTTTGATCAAGTTGAAAAGATCATGAAAAAAGTGACCGATAGGTTCTAGGTTCGTATCCCGCGTAGGGGGATCGTGGATGCGAACTCTCCCATGATAAGACAAAACGACTGTCTAGTGTTTCCAGGTTTTCCATGGAAGTCTAGCTTCAACTGGCTCATGATCTCAACTATTAAAATTACTATACTATCCACCGAAATCTCTTCTGATAAAGCAGCAATTGTTTAATCAGTAAAACATCATGAACTTTTTTAGTTACATTCAACTTGTTAGATCAGCTATGGCTAACAACCTTGAGTATTTTAAAAGTGAATAGAAATATTCCCACTTCTTTTTTCATTATTCAAATCCATGAGGATGATAAGTCCCACCATTTTAAACCAAGGATATTATTCGATGTCCAAATTAATAATAGAGAGTACATTAAATTATCCAGTTATTTATAAAGAAATTACTTGTCCAAAATATCATTTTACGAAATAGATAGGCATATATCAGTTAATAGATATATCACAAAGAAACATTGAGAGAATAGTTAAACTGAGAATAAAAATAATTTCACTTAATCTCAACATTATAGGTGATGATAATATTGAGAGCCTCAGTGATCTAGTGGTTCAGAGTTCGCGCGCGAGACTAAAAGGTCCTGGGTTCAATTCTCGTTGGTGAGGGACTTCTGGATGTGCACTACTGAGGAGCCCCGTACTAGAATGAGACAGCCGTCCAGTGATTTCAGGTTTTTAATGGTGTTCTAACTTAGATTGATTCGTGAATCGAACTATTAGAATTACTACAATCTCCGCAAACCCCCTTTCTTATCATAATTATACATCAATTAAATAGAATGTATTCTGTATACAGATTCTTTGTATTTCTTAAGTTTATACGAATATATAATATCTGTTTAATTAACAAAATTCTTAAACTAATTCGTATTTTTTAAATGGAATTTCTGGCCAACTTTCCATGGGATCATTTTAAATTACATAATGACCAGTATTTAAGTAAATATTTGTCTAAATCTACATTACATAATAGAAACTTCGGGGAACGAGAATAGTTACGTGTATAAAAGTACACTGTTATATCCATCTGTTCATTATGGACCTAACTCTTTCCTATCTCGTTCATTCATTTATAAAAATTTTATTTTATTCTTGGTTGTAAAGCTTATTCTACTCAGAACTATTATTCATAATATATATACACTTTATTACTGGCTAACTTCAGTTAAGCAACCATCGAAAGTCAATACGATTTGAACAGGTATTTCGACTCAAGATTGAATTTCATAGTTTCAGAGCACATTCGCTATTCCATTGAAAATGGAACTTGCTAGGTTCAAGCTTCTAAAAGTGAGTGTTTAACCCTCAAACCACTGACTTAACATTTATCACCAATATCATTGGTAATATTTATTTCATGTTCCACATGGTCATAAACCAGCGGATTGACATTTATTTTATTTATGATCATAATAAATGTATTCCTTATATTTCATAGATAACTTTCATCAGATTGAAGACTTTGTTAATTGCATATCAGATAAAAAAAGTCATTTCATCCCGACAAATATATAAGTTCCTTCTAGAGATATAATTTATCACAAGTTTACACAAACCGTTTTTTTACAGATCGAAAATAGACTTGTTTTGATAGATTACTTCATTGGTATAGATAACCTATTCAAACTTATTGATTAAGCATTTACTAAAAATATGCAAGTATTAAAAAAAAATATTTGTAGATTTTTTTGTTGGATTCATGAGTTAATTGAAACTAGACCACCATGGAAAACCTGGAACGATTGGACGGCCATTTCGTTCTAGTATGAGACTCCTCAAAAGTGTACATCCACGATCTCGCGCCGCGAGATTCGAACCTAGGACCTATCAGTCTCGCGCGCGAACGCTTCACCTCTAGACCACTGAGCCGACCAGTATCCAACAGTCTTAATGTCTAACTTCGACCAATTCACAATTTTAACCATCGGATATACTCAAGCGATCTTATAAAAAAGATTAATAAAAAATTTTTAATTACAATTAATCATCACAAAATTCAGGTGGAATTATCATCATCACGTCTATTCACACAGCCATCACCATGTAGGTTGGTGTTTATTTTCTACTTCATCTGAACACTGGAAGAGCAGGCGGTTATTACAATGGAATTCATGTATCAGATTAATATAATACAACGATATGTATCGTAGGATTAAGTAAAATCAATAACACTTAAGAGTAAATATAAACGATAGTCAGCCGATTGTCCAAGAGCATTTTACAAATAATTCACAAGTTAAACTGATATTCAACAGAATTTTTCTTACGATAAGAACTTTCATCTAAATTTGATCGAATAGTTTTACAGTAATTGGGCACCGAGTTAATGTGAGACTTTAAAGAGGAAGAATGTACTTGTACAATCTTAGCGAATGAATTTGAAGTGAATGCAACATTTCGCCCGGCAATCTGGTTCAAGCTTTTTCAAGGAAATATACATTCTTCCTCTATAATATTGAGAGTTTGTGCTATGAATTCATTACCGTAATCAAATAAATAGAGTAATGAATAAACAGACAAATTATTAACGTTATCTTGATGCTTACTAAATAGGGTTATAACTGTCAGTATTTTATTGTTAGTGATCATGAGTGGGGTGTATCATCATACAATCAGAAGATAATCATTGTGTAAATTAATCAGTTAATTGTAATTTGTAGAAAATTCAATGAAAGTCTTAATGAAATTCATTAGTATATCCACTCATCAGTCATATAACCAGTTTATATATAGAAACATTCAGTGATAAACGTCATTTACTTTCAACATTGATGAAATGCAAAAGAAAAGGTAATGAAATGAAAAACTTAAATGTAGAAAAAATCCAATGAAATAAATAAAATTGATTTATCATGTGAAATTCATTAGTTTTGAGATGGTGGACAATATTTGGAGCTCAGGTGGATTATTTGGTCGTGGAGCTTTCATCGTTCTTCTGAACGACATCAGCAGTACAAACTTCAGGTAGAAGACTTCTAGTTTCAATAATATGTTGATAACATTTCATTGGCAATTCCATAAAACAACGTATAAATTCATACTTACAGAAAATATTTCTGTTTTAATCAATCAAATTATGTTTTTAGTTCTGAGGAGTTAAACAATTCTTACTGTTTGTAACGCTTACAAGAAAGAATAAATCAACTAAGTCGCTCTCATCTGATATATATGAATGAGTTATTGATATCAGTTGAGATAGAATGATTTCCCCAAGCTTTAGTGAACATCCCGACTAGTTGAATTCAAGTTTGTTGATAGTGAGACAGTTATCCTCAGTGTTAGTGAAGGATCTTCGCCCAATATTTACATATCGAGTGGTCCTTTTTTCCTATGGTACCACAACTGACATAAATCATTTTACTATTAATTACAATCAAGTGTATTTGCCCTATGTAACCAACTTTTGTCTGTTGAACACCAATGATTATGATTGAAAAGTGATAGTAAAAAAATTTCGAAAATCGATCACAATAAAAGATAACTACTCAAACAGATACTTGTGTTTGTGTAGGTGAGTCAAACGGATACCATCTAAAATGTTACGCAAACAACTGCAGATTATGAAGTTGATTCTTTCTTTAAAAATTGACGTAATTTAGCTCATTTATATTTAAAACTAGTTCAGAATCAAATTTTATTATCGAACCATGCTGGAAATTAATTACATACTGAAAATGCTTAACGTTATCCAACAGAGATCCAACAACAACAAGTCTGTATTGATTTATAGAGTGAGTCAAGTTAGCACAGAAGAACATTAAGTTATTGCAATTAGCTAACAAAGATTATAGACCATTAAAAACTGTAACTCGAACGAAGAAAAAATTAAACTACTGATTCGTACTAATCAAATAAACTGAATGTTATAAGGTTACATTATTAAAGTTTCAACTTTTATCATTTAATCAATCAATAAGTTAATAATTCATTAATTCTAAAGTTATAACTCACCTTTATGCATCCCAGTAATTTTATCTCTTAAGATTAACAGATCATAAATTGGTCCAAATTCTTCAAATATTACCCGTAAATCATTTTCTTGCATACTTCTTGGTATCTGTCCAACAAATAATTTTGTATTTTTCGTATTCCAACGAAAATCATTCGACTCTCTATTCTTGAAGGTAGATATTTGATGATGCTCCAATATTGATGATGATGACGATGATGATGGAGACGAAGACGACGATGGCGATGTATGCATTATAGAATGTGTACTGTTATTCTTAGTGTTGGTGTTAGCGTTGTTGTTGTTGTTAGTATTAGTCATAATATTCTCACTAGTTGCCATGGTAACACTTGGATTGGTCATTGGTGAATTACTGCCTGAGTTAGTTTCATGTTCATCCATTATAAGTGAACTGTTACATGATGATAACATCGCATCATCACAGTTGTCTAGTAATAAATGTGATTCAACAACATTTAGATCGTTATTATCACTGCAATGACCACTGCTGCTACTACTTGTTATACCATTATGAGTAGTAATATCACCCCCATTGTTATTATTATTGTCGTTACTAGTAGTTATTTTCGTATTTAGCATAGTTAAATCTGTATAATTCGATGTAACCGTCATAACTGGTTGATTTGGTATATGATGTAACGGTTCTTCAATATTATTTAACAATGTCGTCATCATAATGATCAGTGAAGCGGTTCAAAGAAATCGGTTGATTATTACATCAGTGTTTTTTTTTGAGAAACAATGGAAACAATAGTTATAATGATTCAATTTGTGATAAGTGAACAAAAGTTATCACAGTATTAGTGTTTTTGAGGTAGTCGTCGTTTCTTTTTAGATTTCGAAGATGATTGTCAACATTTAAAAAAATCAGACTATTTATGTTCGTTTTATTCACAAAAATGTGATACTAATAATGGTCATGATAACGATTTTCTTTACATAAAAATATTATACACCTTAGAGTTTATAGGTAAAGCAAATGAAATGTTCACTGTTATTTCCTCACTCCGCTAACTCACTTCTAATTAATTTACTCATCTGTCGAATACCCTCATAGATGATTAACAAACACACGGAGAGATAGTGGAGGGACACACACTCATGTAAGTCAATATATTATTATTATTATTATTATTATTATTGAATAGACAAACACACGAATACATGTACTGATGTGAAACTACGTTTAGGTTAGGCACTAATTCATATACCTCTCCTCTCTCTCTCTCCCGCTTCATGTTTGCTCATGTGAGTATATAGTATGATATATATATATATATATATATATATTTTACGATAATACATTACTGTGATGTACATATATTCTGTCTGTATACCAAATGGACAGTGTCCAGTTTGTTAATATTATTATCAACATTTTCATAAAAAAAATTCTCAACTAGAACATGGATTTACACACAACCACACCGATATGAGAAATATTTCTATAGATGAACAGAGATGAATTCGCGTATCAAGGATGGTTTGAACTAAGTATAAGCCAGTTAGGATTAAATGTGTATGCACAAATATACACACATACGTACGTGTGTACATACACACACATACATACATATACCTACATCTGTAGGTAAACATACATACATACTTATTCAGCTCTAGTGAGATAATAATAATAATAATAATAATAATAGTGAATATTAGTAATTAAATTCTCTGAAATGGTGCCTACATGCCACTATCACTACTGCTACTACTCTACTGTAACATCTACCATTGTTACCAATGTTGTCTTCACCTTCAAATTTATACTTACTTCTTTCTTATCCTCACTGTTGTGTGTTGACAAAATGGTAGAGAGGTGAATTTCACCTGACGAAAGAACAGAGAGGCCAGTCATTGTATTTTATGTTATTATTATTTTAACTAATCAGAGAATAAGATTACCATATCTACTCCATTCACAAAAAATGAGAAAAAAAACGTGTATTGTTGTATATCTGATTTTCATTTTTATTTATTTATTTTGTAAATTACCACTTGGTTATGTAACGGATTAATAACAAATTACAATAGAATAAAGAAGTTTGTTGTCAAAACAAAATTAACACAATGGAACAAACTTACGATTTTTTAAAATTATTATTATCAACTTTATTCAATATTATATTTTTAGTACAATATAAAATTCTCAGCACAAAGTATTTCAACAAGTTTCCGTTTCTTACTTCTTGGTCGGTCCTGGCGATAAATATTGAGGAATCGCCAGTTAGATGTTAGCAGTCCAGTAAATGAATATCTGAATAATGTGCATTCTTTTCGTTGTATATTGCCAGCAACCACATTGCCTTTTATTGGGCTTTTTGTAACTTTGACAACGAAAAGTTGTACACTTTTCAGAAATACACCAGGATATGTTATGCGAATAATAGACATGATGATATATCAAAAACAAAAATAGATAACTTGTTGAAATATCTAGATGGAAGGAACGGGTAGCCCAGATACTCAAGCAAGCCGCCTATTATTATTAGTATATGGCAATTTATAAACTGTTTCAAATTGTGATCATTAGTTGCTTTGTCATTTTTATTAGAAGTGATTTTGTGGAGATTTTAGTAATTTCAATAGTTGAAATAATGAGTCAATTGAAGCTAGATCGCCATGGAAAATCTGAAAGTTCCGTTAATTAATTGTGCTGGAATTGAATTTTAATGATAAAAACACCACTTATAAAGGAATACGAGTTCCATATAGGATGAAACTCACGTCCTGGATTCCACTACTAGCCACTATCTATCTTTGTTTATAATACATTTATTAGTTTAAATTAATTCGTGTATGTATTTGTTAACGTGTATGTGGGTACGAATCCATGGGTTTAGATATGTCAAGTTGTAGAAATCAGACATGATTTTTTTATGTTATATTAATAATGTTCTCTAAATATCTTCCCATTTAAGGAATGAGCATTAAATAGTTGAGTGTAATTTTGATGTGCAATTTAATTTTGAAGGGCATCGGAGTTGTTCGCCATTGTTATGCACATATTCAGTGCAACGTAGGCCAATATTCAGGATGAATAAAAACGATATATTATAAGTTGGGACATGAGATGAAACTTTAAATAAACATTCCAGTTTAATATACAGGACAGTAAATAAACAGAGGAATGACTATTTAGTGAACAATAAAAATGTTTCAGATCATCTTATCCGAACAACAGTGTCATCGATCATTGAAAATTTCAACTTACTTCGTAAGTAGTCTACTAATTATTAACTGTATAGTAATTAATAACATGGTATTCATTCAGTCAATTTAAATAACGTGATCTTGACAATAAGTCAGTTATACATTGAATACTTTAGTGATTACATTTCTAACTGCGGATACTGGTTGACTCTAATTCATATATTATAAAGTGTGTTGTTTTTATAAAAATGATGATATTCTTTCACTGGCAAGTATTAGGTGATAACTAATCATCAGCACAGGGTTGTGGAGATTATTAAGTTTTCGATTGAGAAGCATTGGACGGCCGTTTTGGTCCTACTGCGGGACGCCTCAGCAGTGCGCATCCACGATCTCACTCGCTGGATTCCAACACAGGGCCTTCAGTCTCGCACGCGAACGCTTAACCTCTAGACCACTGAGCCAGCTGACATCCAACGGTGATAATGTCTAGTCTCAATCAATCCACACAATAGGACGAAACAGCCGTCCAGTGCTTCCAGGTTTTCACTGGTCGTCTCACATTAATCGGTTCATGATCTCAATCAATTTGAAATAGTGTTAATATCTGACCTTAACCAATCCACAGAAGTGTGCGACCATCTTCCATTGTAACGAGGTAGATACCTATCTCTACCCGACTTGGATTAGCTCCACTGGTCACGGCTTCTCACTAGAACTCCGAGAATTACTTCACGAAGCTAGTCACTTGTGAGAACATGGTAATTATCAATATAGGGTTGTGGAGCTTACAGATTTCGATCAATTATTCCATTAACTTGAATTCAGAAAAAATTGAATAATGTACCGTACTGTAATTTCTATTTGAATCAATGTCTTTTTAACAACACTTCAAAATATTCATGTTTATTCATTCATTCTTCTGTTCCTTCAGACGTTTTCCAATGTACAATGAAGAAAAAGAGAACAAAAAGTATTGCGGGATAAAAGCATAATAGGAAACATAACGATACAACTTACAATCTCTTTTCAACTTATCTTTCAAGAAACATTTTTCCTTCACAACAAAATAACAAACAATAAAATTCGCCATATTTTTTTTTGTTTTTTGTTTTGAAAAGAAACAATTGTTTTTCATCTTATTAAAAGAATAAAATTTAAAAAAAATCAAGCAAATTCACTTAGTAACGAATCATCTCTTATTCCTTGTGTGTACGTACATCAATGTCCTACTTCAATATTCATGTTTTCCACTCTGTTTTATTCTTTAACAACCTCAGTTTATCAGTCTTTCTCTTACTTTCTCAAAGCTTTTTTTTCTTTAAAATTTGTATAGCAGAAAAATAATAATAATTTACATGTAATTACTGTTTGTTAGTGTAGAGACAGTAATTTTCAACAGTGTAGTAGTCGTGAAGTAAAAGGGTGGTTGCGTATATGCTGGAAAGAAAAGATTAAAACAAACCGGTTTTCTCTCTCATTTAGAAGAGTTTCTGTCAGTTTATTTTATTTATTTCTTGCAATAATAAATCTTGTATATACACTGCTTTTGTTCAAAATACACTTAGTTGTTAATTTTATTGTTTTCATTTCATTGATTATATTGTTGTAAGAAACTTGATTTTCTAGTCATCTAGTTATCTCTTGATAGTATTTGTTGCAGACTAGTCTCAATTAGGGTACCAATCAAAACCACTAGGGATGAGACATTTTTTATGTTTTAATGCACGGCTACTTAAGATTCTGTACTAACAACCAGAATCACAGTGATCGTGTTCGTGACCAACGAATCAGGTGACAAATGCTTAACTATTGAAAACACTGGATTGATGTCCATTGGTAAGATTTTAACTTCAATCAATGTGCGAAATAGCATGATAATCACTCGATATTACTGATGACAACTGCCTTACTCTCAACGTATTTGACCCCCAATAGTCATGGCTTTCAATTAGAGCTTTAGAGTATGGATGAAGCGATTTTGTGGCGATCTGTGAAAGGCACTTGGGACTGGTTGGTGACAACTTAGTGATACTAATATTTAAGTGCCCACTATAACACCCGAGGATACTAAATTCGATGCCTGGAGAGGTTATGGATAAGCAGTGCCGCTGGGTGACATACTAGAGTGAAACATATGTCCAGTACTTACTGTACCAGCACTCTAAATGAAATCAATAACTAGATAATATCTACAAATTATTTTATTTGGTATTATGATAAGACATTTAGTAAGTTGATTCCATTCAATAAAATCTATAGGAACAGTCAACACACCGACAGAATGTCCTTGACTGATTTTTAATGTAAACAAACTTTAAATTTACTCATTTACATTCTGCTCAATTATAGTTGAGTTAAACGCGTCAGTGTATTTGATTGCTTAGTGGAAACATTGTGTTAAAAATAGTCAAGGGAAATTTAATTCAGCATATTAAATACAACTAAGTAGTAGAAGTTGTCAACCAACTTGCGAAGTGGGATAGAATATTCTCAGTTAACTTAGTAATAGGTAATATGACTTGTTGTTTTTGAAATCATTGTATTTAGCTGATTGTTTCAACAGTATTTTGATTGACACGTATTCTGAAGTTTAGTTAACCAATTTATTCGAATATCTGTAATATTTTAATGTGATTTAACTGTTTCTGCATCATTTACAAAAACACATCTACTTTAATTCCTAGCGTAACCGACGACAATCTATGTGGCACTATTCCTCAGATACATCGTAGTTGACCATATAACTATACTGTGTAACCAACCACTAAGTGAATGAATTATGACAGGTTGTGCATTTATTAGTCCATAAATTTTTAATTTTCATATTCTTTGGTTTTGATCACAGGTCTTAAAGAGTACGATGGGTTTTCTTTCTGTCAAATGAATTAGAGGAATATATTTTTGGTCACCGCATTGCAATAAGTATGGTGAATCTGATCACTCTACAATCCTATACAGAAAATTGCTTTCTGTATTCTTATATTATTTCTAACAGAATGGTTACAGAGAATGCTGAATTTTGTAATTTTCCATTACAGACTGATATTAGTTTGATAATTATTTGAAGCCAGGCAACA